GTACTTACTGGATGCAACCATTTGTTTATCAGAGGAGTGGAATTATGGCAGAATAGCAGGGATATGACATGGGGGACTGTGGCTCCGCCATTGCTGGTTTGTGAACAGCTGCACCAGAGAGGTCATTTTCTGGCTTCACTTTTCTTGCATACTTTTTATTTCTTGCACTGAAGTGGACGGCAGGGACAGCATCCAGGAACTGTGGAAGGAACAACTGGAGAAAGTGAGAACAGCCATATTTCCTAGGCTGGCAATAAAGTTGGAGAATAGGGCGGAGTTTTCAGGATGTAGCTCCAGACAGGTACACCTCACAAAGGTTGTGCCTGGCCCTGCCTGGCCCCCAGGACAGCGGTCACCAACTGGTGGGCCGTGACAAAATTTTGGTGGGCCGCAGAGAAATCTCAGCCGCAGAGCACCCCCACAAAGCAATTAATCCAGGCTGCGCAGAAACACAAGGATGCCCCGCTCACATGGCCCGCGGGAACCCTCCCCGCCCACTCACTCCTTACCCAGTAAACTTGCCTGCTAAATTGCTATTTTTCCTTTTTCCGACCATCATCTGTTCCGCTGTGCCAGGAGATTTAGATTAGCTAGGAAGCAGGAAATGGTTGGATTTCTTGCTTTCTAACTAGTCTTTAGATCTTTGGCTCAGCACAGCCGAACCTCCCTTAGGACTGAAGGTTTGCTTGCAAGCAAATTCAGTGCAGACTCACAGCAAGCAAATTTGAGAGACTGAGCTAGCCGATGGCAGATAGCTAGATCACTGAATGATTCTGTGAGCAACTCAGTCTCTCTGTTTGCCTGATTTGGGGTAAAAGTTGCTCTTTTTTAATGAAAAATTCAATATTTATATAAATATTTATAATATTTACATACAAGTCATGCCCAGCCAGTCACATGACCACCAAGCCACACCCACAAATTAGGCCACACCCACAGAACCAGTTAGTGGTCCCTGGGATGTAAAATTATGAGTTTGGTGGTCCCTGAGGTCCAAAAGGTTGGCGACCCCTGCCCTAGGAGATGTTGTCACCTCAAATGCCTTGGGAAGAGCCCTGAAGAGTAGATGATGGCTCCCCTTGTTCTAATGGAAGTTTGGAGATAGTTGAAAGTAAAGTGGAAGGCCCCTTAACTGGAGGGTTATTATGACACCACTTGCCCCCTTTTAGGAAGCTTCATGGTCTCCAGCTTCATCAGAGACGAACTCATCCAGGCATGGTCCTCCCAGGAAAGTCCCGAGTTCCTCTTTCCCCTCACGGGTATCCACAGGATTCATTAATTTTGGTCAGAGAGATGTGATGGAAGCTGTGCTTGTTTTCTAGGCCTGAACTTCAGCCATTACTGCCTGGTTCCATCTTGACTTTTTTTACCATACCCCGTGAAGACCCTTGGATTGTTCTCCATGACTTCATGGGAACTAATTGGGCACATAACGCCTTTCGGATTTTAAAGGACATTAGAGTGAAGAGTACTAAAACCCTTATCAGAAAAGGGGGGGCTTCTTATGACTGGATGTGTTCAGTGAGTCTTCAAGGGAAGGAAGATCTGGGAGTTGCAAAGTACAAAAATGTCTCTATTGGGACCATTCAGATCCTTTGGATTTTATCTCTGGATAAAATCTGGAAACATCTAAAATTTCAGCCTCTCCCCATTGATCGCAGGAGATGGAAGTGCACATTAATAACTTAATTTTAGCAATTCAAACGTGAAAAATTGAAGTCTCTCAAATCACCACTATCAGTTTTCTGATAAAATGAATTTTGTATTTCCCCGTTTTGATTAAAGTGGGCTATGGCGTGAGTTTTATTTTTAACTTGGTGTTAATTAGAAATATGGAAATAGGCTGAGATTCATTGCTCTTCACAGACAAGGAATATTCACAACCAATTTCTTCACACAATTACATCTATTTTGGAATGGTTTTTTTTTTTTAAAAAATACACAGAATCACATATTCCCTCATTTGCTGGTTTCTGTAACTGGGTTGGATTGATATAAAGTCAGTAATTGAATATGCAGCCTGAAGAAGGACGGTTGTTTTAACAGAAAGTGAGACGCTGTGCAGAAAAGGCCGAAGCACTTCGCCTGCCGTCTCTGCTGCCACACAGCATCCTATTACAGCCTTTACATCTTTTTGTTAAGCACACGCTTAGCTAAAAGCATAATATTTATAAAATAAACTCTTAACGTACAGTTTCTATAATTTTGAAGAATTTATGTCCTGCTTCTAGTTTGAAGATTCTCAAGTTTATTTTCCTATACCGGTTTCTTTGAACTAAAGAGCTAGAACTGCTTCGTGCTTATGCTGGAAAGGAGCTGCCTTCGGGCACCTTAGATGATGCTGGTGAGGACTCAGAAGTCCAGAGCAAACTTTGGAAGGTCAGCCTCTGCGTTTCCCATCCTGGGCCCCTTCCAGATGTGGTGGGGCTGCATCTTACAGGATTCCCATCAGAGGCCAGACCGACTGGGCAGGAATGGTGGCAGCTGACCAAGCTGCTTGACATCTTTAATGCTGGTCCAGTCGTGGTCCTTGGAGGCTCCAGATGCAGCTGGTATGCCTGTTGAAAGAATGGTGACAAACCTGTCAGGGACAGTATCAGAGCAGAGGTGGGGCTGTTCGTATGACCCAATCTGGAGTGAGCATTGAGAGGGGGAGCTAAGACCGTCCTTCTGTGGAGGAAGATAAATCTTGAGGGTAAAGGAAGATCCTTTAGTTGGATAGAGGAGGAGGAGGAGGAGGAGGAGAAGACACAATGCAGAAAGGAAGCAGTCATTTGGGCAGGGGAAGAACATTCCAGAGCCATTTAATATCTTAAATCTCAGAGAAAGTACTGTCACATTGATGGCGTTTTTAATGGTAGTAATCAGTGTGGAGGGGAGGAAATATAAACCGTAGCAAACATATTTTAAAATTGTATGCTGATACTCACTAATAGAGACGTTTGCACTTTCAGTGATTCTTTGTACTTTGGAAACAAGATGCTACCAGCAGATGCGAAAAAAATTGGATTGGGAATACAATCCCATAATCAAAATACAGGGAATAAATGATTTTATCGTAGGCATATGTGTGATATCATTAACATTCCTTTGTGCTGATCATAGCATGAAGGAAATCAGGAAAAAAATCAATGGTGTTTTATGTATCTGTAATTTTAAAAACGGAGGAGCAACAGAAACTGGGTACATAGAAATAATTCCTAAACGTATCTGTGTGGCCAGAAGCTATTTTGAAGCTCTCATTCTGTTTTGAAAAAGTTTCTAGCCCTCAACACAAGGGTGTCTTATCTAGAACAGGGCTGCCAAACTCAAGGCCTGCGGCCTGGATCTGGCCCGCAGGGTGCTTAAATCTGGCCCATGGGGCAACCCTGGAAACAACGAAGGACCGGCCCACGGTGCCTCTGCCAGCGAAAACGGAGCCTGAGAGGCCGCGATTGCCTCCTGCAACCCTCTGCCAGTGAAAACAGAGCTCGGGAGGGCCAAGCGGAGCTCCGTTTTCGCTGGCAGAGGGTTGCAGGAGGCCATCGCGGCCTCTCAAGTTCCATTTTTGCTGGCAGAGAACTTGGGCCACCACAGGCGCCCCCGACACGAGTGATGTCAAGCTGGCCACGCCCACCCGTCCCTCAAGGTCAAACAGATCCCTGATGCGGTCCTCAATGAAATTGAATTTGACACCCCTGAGCTAGCAGGCCCAGAATTGGCCAGGATATTCCATCTGGACTTTCTGGGTGGGAGGGAAACTGGGACCTGAACGGAAGAGGCAGCAAAGAGAGTACAACGCTTGCTATCTGCAGACCAGGAGCAGATTTTAATATTACATAAACATCTCCTTGATAACTCATGAGTCACATCACTGCACTGTATTATTCATCCTATGAACGAGCCCAGACGTGTCTGGATACTCTTTTACTCTCCCCAAACAGAAATGTGTAAGTTAGTACATAGCACTTGCAAATAATTGAGCAAGCTTGGCAAAAGCGATCCTCATCCAGACTAAATGACTTGGTTTATATTCTCGCTTCTTAGAAATCAGTGGCTTTTTAAATAACCGTTTAAGCTTTTGACTGCTTTTTCCGAAACTTAAAGGCACAAAGCGCGTAAGAAAAAGCAAGTATATTACAAAAATATAGCAGAAAGATTGGTTTAGCGATGCTTTCTCTCTCCTTCCTTTCCAATCGTTTCCCAACCACTAACCTAAATATTTGTACTTTGCCCTGAGCATCAAGAGTTACTGCAAGTATTTATTTGACTCATTTCATCTGCTGCTTTTGATTCATTTCATGAGCTCTTTTTTCTAGAAATCATGTCCTGGGCAGCTTGCTTGGTCGTGTGCTGTTCCGAGCAGGCTCCAGGATGGCCCCCGTCCTCTGCAAATAACACAATCTCCCTGGAAGATGGGAGGCGTTGCAATTTCATTACGACTACGAGGGGATTCTAAATAAAATTAATGCATAAAAGGCTGAAGCACAAAAGGAATTCCAAATAGGACAGAGAATTAAAAGTCAAGTAGAGTTAATTTAGCATTGAGCAAAGAAAGAAAGAAAAACAATAAGAATACTTGGCAAGACTGGTTTTCCCATTTCTGCCCAAAGCGTCAGATTTCCAAAGCAACAGGTTCTCTGCCTCATTCATCTGGATTTCCCCTGGATTTTAGGGGGAGCTTCTTCTATGATTAGATGCTGGAGAAACACTCACCTTAACATACAGACTTCTGCTGGAGCGATGCCTCCAGTTTCCAAAGGATGCGATCTTTCTGCATCTTTGCTTGGTTGACATTGGGCCTTTCTGAGAACCCAAGCTGCAAGGGTTTCCTTTTTACCCTGCGGGCGGATCACTGATCCTCTCTCAGGTGCTTGCAAGGGTGGCTGAAGGCAAGGCAGGACAAATGCCAAAAGAGGTGTAGCTGTTGAGGGTGAAGAAAAAGCAAGAAACCCCCTGATTCCTCAGAGAAGCTCTTCTGAAGCCCCTGGGAGGAGCTTCCACCCCTGGGGGAAATCCCAATGGATAGGAAACCCTATGGCTATCCACCAGTGGTAAGGTTCTACCGGTTCGGTGGTCACGCACTTTGTGCATGCACATGCAACTTTCCAACACCAGCTGAGGGTCTGCCGGGCCAATCAGCTGAGAGGATAAAGAAGAGAAAAGCACAGGGGTAGGTGGGAGGGCCGATCCTGAGCTTTTCTCTTCTTTTCTCGTCAGACCATTTTTTGCTACCGGTTCGGCCTAACCAGGCCGAACCAGTAGCATTTCACCACTCCAGTTCGCAAAGCTTCTCCTGGGGGCATAAGGTATAGAATTTGGGATTCGGGGCGGCCAGTGACTTAAAGATTCTCAAACCGAAGAAGCAAAGAGATGGATGAAATTGCTCTGCTGATACTGAAGTGTGTCACTTGGGCAGCGGGGAGGGGGAGAAGACTTCAACTCCCAGGATTCTGCAACCAGACATGCCCGAACCCAGAGGTCTCCAACCTTGGCAACTTTAAGACTTGTGGACTTCAACTCCCAGAATTCTCCAGCCAGCATAACCTGTTCTTCAAACGTGGCAACTGGGTGAGTTGAAGTCCACCCATCTTAAACTTGCTGAGATTGAGAAGTGGTTTAGGCCAGGGGTCTCCAACCTTGGCAACTTTAAGACTTGTGGACTTCAACTCCCAGAAGCTCTGCTGGCTGAGGAACTCTGGGAGTTGAAGTCCACAAGTCTTAGAGTTGCCAAGGTTGGAGACCCCCCTGGTTTTAGGCTCGCGTCTGCCATGGGAATTGCTAAAAGGGTTTTCTGGAGCTGTGTGGCAGCTTCTTTGTTGCTGCTGTTGAAACCGAAGAGGAGGGAGTTTTGCAGAATCAAGCGATCCGGCATCGGTTCGGTTGAAATGTGACGGGTGACAAATGGCCAAGGGAGGGTGGGGGCAAAGCATTGAGCAGATGTGGGTGGGTGGGTGCCTGGAGTCTCAGCCATGAAATAAATTAGCAGGACGGATTTCCTTAGAATGTTATATGTGAGCTTGGTTCCCTCAAAGCCCCTCCCATGCGGAGCAAACAATAAATTTCTCTTCTGCGGGGAGGAGGAAAGGGTAACTTCTGAAATAAAAGCAGGATTGTAATGCTGACCTTGTCTCCTCGGTTTGAAATAGTTTTCACGATATAATCAATGGTAATGGCATACATGAGGTTTTGTTTAAAGGAAATACAACACCTTAATTGTACTGCTTAAAGCGAAGCATTGCATCAGAAAGATTCATTTAAATACGCTTGACTCGAGGCTCTCTTCACCATTCATTCATGCCGATTTTCTCTTGGACTTGTTAGGAGTGCAGAGTATAAAAAGAAATCAGCCTTGCTGGATCATAACATTCTGTCCCTAAAGCTCACTTTTATTCAGAAATCTTAGCTGCCAACAAAAGGCTTCCTTTTTATTGTAATTTGCAACTTCAAGTGCATTTGAAACCTGGCTGAATGTTGCAGAGATTTAACACAACACGCTTGTTTCTGTGATTAAATAGTTGTTTGAATGAGGAGCTGACGGAGACTGACCAACGCTAGGAAAATTCTGTGCACAGAATCACGGCAACCCTTTTTTAAAAAAATAATTTATTTCATTTACAACTAAATTTACAATTACAAATTTCATTTACAAATAAATTTACAGTTTATTTCATTTACAATACATATTCAATTCATCTTTCATTTAATGGTGTGTCATCTGGTTACAAATGCCTTGTGCCATAACAATTAACTTTTACAACCATATTCATTATTTTAATATTAATTCTCTATTCTTATCATATTAGTATACAAATTATTTCTATCACTATAACATTTCTCTTCTTTACATATCCAATTCTATTAACATATTTTCTGTATTTCGGTGGTCTAATAATTATTTCTAGCTTTCATATTGTTGGAAGAATTATCCCTCTGGGTTCAGTTCCAAGTGGGGAAAACGACACTGGAAACAAGGAGGCTGCTTGGAAAGATGGTTTAATGGTGGACAGCAGGATCACAGGGCTTGGAGCTCCAAAGAAGGAAGGGTCACATGCTTCAAGATGAAGGAAAGGAAGGAAGGGCTGAGGTGCTGAGAGTGCCTGGGTTTTATACCCTCTGTTGGGATTTGAATTTGAGCTTGTACTCTGATTGGTTGCCAGACTCCCATGGGGCCTTGCAGGAGCAACTCTCTAGGCTGTCCTGAGTTCCAGGCTTGGTTGAGCCTGGCTGGATGATGATGTAATGAAAGGGCTTTGGGCAATTCCTATTATAGCTTTACCTGGAGTAGATCTTTGTTATGTAAAATAGGCTGGCCTAGGCCAGAGTCATGGGCCATTAGCAAAGGTGGGGGGGCTGAGTTTCTACTTCTGAGTTTCTACTCTTTTTAGGGGAAATATTCTGCCTTTTTAATATTTCCTAAAATATTTCATTTTTCTACAAGAGGAGTGGGTACTAAATTCCAACAGTATTTTTTTTTCTCTTGGAAAAAATAATCACTGGAACCCACCAATCCATGTAAAAGCACATGCGGAGGGCACATGCAAGCCATGTTTGGGACGGAATGGTTGGACTTTCTGGAGTGGCAACTGAATTCAGCTGCCAGGCCGAAACAATTGAGAAGCCACTGGCAAAACAAGCCAAAAAATTTGGGAGCAGCAATTGGGAGACCTGAGCAAGGGAAAAAGCCGGGAGCTCTTGTGCTGAAAGAAGGATGGAGGCCTAGTAGGTTCAGTCATTTGCCCTTCCAACAAAGGTCTCCCCTTTGCCACAAGTTTGGACAGTTGTGTTGGTTTTCATATGTTGAGACACGCCCGTTTGAACCTGAGCGCTCCCTCCTGCTTCTTCAAGGCCCCCCCCCCAAAAAAACGGATCCCGCTGACGTCTCTCCCACGGTCCCTTGTGGAGGGGCTCGAGGGGGGGGTGGGGCTTTGGGCACTGGGCGACCTCGGATGAGGCTTCTGCCCTCCCCTTCCTACACATGGGCAGTTCAGGGTACGAGGAACCCCCAACCTATGACCACAATGGGACACTAAGCATGGCGGTGGTTGAGTCACGCCTGATTTTACAACCGATTTTGCCCTGTGGGGGGATGAGTGAATTGGGTTTCCCCCTCTGGCAAAACAGTTGTTGCCAGACCTGGAGAGCAGATCGGCGAAGGACGTCCGGGAGACTTCCAGCCCTTGGGAGAGTAACAAAAGAGACGGCCTGAGCCTTTGACTTCCTTTCCCTGAACAAGCCATGGGCAAGTTGTGTGCATTAGTTGCATTGCTGTGTTGTAACCTCTCTTGTGTCCGTTTCCCCCCCTCCCGCCCCCCGATTTATTCCTCCCTTCATAGAAAGTAGTAGAACTAGTCAAACCGGCAAAGACCCCTTTTCCTGCCCCCTTGGAAGAAGGCTTAGCCAGCGACATCTATTCCAAGTTCCTAGCTCAGACCCCAGGGGAGGAAGAGGAGGAGGAGGAGGCAAGCAAGGTAAGTGGAGCTCTCTGGGAGGAAGCCGAATGCCATCTTGCCATCGCCAAACTCCTTCGTTCCTCGGCTTGCGTCCCCAGGGGACAGTTTTCGTGGCCTTAACAGAGAGGCTGCCCTGATCTGCTCCTTCCCCAATGAAGCTTGGAGGCCTCTGAGCAACCAAAAGAGGACCTGGCCCCAGCCTGGGCATCTTCTCAGCCCCAAAGGAAAAGCCCCACCGCTTTGTGGCTTTCCCTGCACCCCTTCATTCACATTCACACATGCATTCTCTCTCTCTTTCTCTCTCTCTCTCTGTGTCTCTCTCCCTCTCTGTGGTCTCTGTCTCTTTCTGTCTCTCTTTCTGTCTCTGTCTCTGTCTCTCTTTCTTTCTCTCTGTCTCTCTCTCTCTCTCTCTGTGTGTGTCTGTCTGTCTCTCTCTGTTTCTCTGTCTCTCTGTCTCTGTCTCTCTCTGTCTCTGTCTCTCTTTCTCTCGCTCTCTGTCTCTTTTCCTCTCTGTCTCTGTATGTGTGTGTCTGTCTCTCTGTCTCTGTCTCTCTCGCTCTCTGTCTCTCTTTCTCTCTCTCTCTGTCTCTCTGTGTGTGTGTGTGTCTCTGTGTGTGTGTCTCTGTCTCTGTGTGTGTTTGTGTGTCTGTACCTCTGTCTCTTTCTCTGTCTGTCTCTCTTTGTCTCTCTGTCTGTGTGTGTGTGTGTGTGTGTGTCTCAGTCTCTCTCTCTCTCTTTGTCTCTCTCTCTCTCTTTGTCTCTCTCTCTCTCTTTGTCTCTCCGTGTGTGTGTGTCTCTGTCTCTCTCTCTCTTTGTCTCTCTGTCTCGCTCTCTGTGTGTGTCTCTCTCTCTGTCTCTGTGTGTGAATGTCTGTCTCTGTCTCTCTCTCTTTGTCTGTCTCAGTGTGTGTTTCTGCCTCTCTCTCTCTTTGTCTCTCTCTGTCTCTCTGTCTCTCTCTCTTTGTCTCTCTGTCTCTCTGTGTGTGTCTGTCTCTGTCTCTCTGTCTGTGTGTGTGTGTGTGTCCCTGTCTCTCTGTCCCTGTCTCTCTCTCTCTGTCTCTCTCTCTCTGTGTCTCTGTCTCTCTCTGTGTCTCTGTCTCTGTGTGTGTGTGTGTGTTGGTCTCTGTCTCTCTTTGTCTGTCTGTCTCTTTCTCTGTGTGTGTGTGTGTGTCTCTCTCTCCCTCCCTGTCTCTGTCTCTGTCTCTCCCTCCCTCCCTCCCTCCCCGTCTCTTGTCTCTCTGTCTCTCCCTCCCTCCCTCCCTGTCTGTCTCTCTCTCTCATTTTTCCTTCTTGTGCCGAAGACTGGACAAAGGTAGAGAATTTTCTGCCATGAGTGACAGCAGGAAACCTGCGGAGAAGACTGGGCATCTTGGTGGGACAGGATGGGGGTCTTCAGCTTCCCCTTTCTGTGGCCAGAGTGGGGGGGGGTGGGGGGCACAAGTGACTCCATCCGCTCTAGCAGGCCATTTGCCCTTGTGATGGGGGGCGGGGTCGCTTGGTGAGCTTTTTCCTGTCCTCTTTTAGGAACCAGAAGGCGTTCTTGCAGAAGCGCCAGCTGAAGAACAAGGAGCCGTGGACCCTTTGATGGGCTACACCGTCGAGGACGTCCGCTTGCTCCTGGGCCAGCTCACCAACGAGCTCATCAGCAGCATTCAGGTACGGCTGCAGGAAGCAGGTGGGCTTAATTCGGCGTCCATGCTGGGTGCCACAGCGGGATGTCTTTGCCAGGATGAACTGAGCATTGTTGACCACAGCACAACTGATGGGCTGCTCTTCCCAGGCGTGAGTCTGGTTCCCCCCGAGAGGGGATTGGAGAAGGCCTGGGCAACGGCGTCAGCACAGAAGCCCACGCTGTATGCCGCGGAGACAGCAAAGGAGCCCTTTGCAGAGCATTCCTCCGCCTGAGCCAGCGCGTCCCTTTAGGGGACAACCCCAGTGGGAAGGGGCAGTAAGTGGGATACAGCAGGGGGTCCCCCCTGCCTTCCCCCTGCGTCTGCATGCCCTCTTAGGCCAGGGTCCCGGCCTGGGGTCTCCCCGCAAGTAAGCGGTCAACGCAAAGATCGTTTCCATTCCATTAACGTTTCATTTTTGCAGAGTTTGGCTGTTCTGATACCTCTTGTGGATTATATCTGGACATCCATGTGGAATAACCTGTTAACAGCCCCATGAAAATACTACTTCTGGCAGGGAAAGAATGCCAGTTTAGTCCCCTTTTACTCTGCCTTTTATTGCAAATTGAGCTGTTTAACAATAAAAATAAATGAAAAGAAAAATGAAACAAGCAAAACTTAGCGCTCAGAGCCTTTCCCACTTGGGAGAGCTGAAATATTTAAGAGTGGTTAAATGGGAGCATTAAAGAATCCTGGGAAAGTTTACATTCTGTGCAAGGGTCGTTGCTGCTTTTGCTAACCTGCCACTACAGCCGGGCAAATGCCTTCCTTGCAGTTTTCTCATATTTTCCATTTGTAAATTCCATTTAACCTATTCCCACAGAAGTTCAAGAATATTTGTTAAGCTTACAGTGCAATTTGTGGGTTTGTGCACATTCCTCCAAAAGAAACATTATTTTGTTCGTAATTTTCCTTAATGGACATGCTTTTTGCAGTTTCCCTCCATATGTTCCTTTGGATTAAGCAGCTGCGTAACTCCTTGCAGGGAAGAATGGCTTCCAGAAGGCCGCCAGATAGTGGGGAATTGGAGAGCCCCCTTTCTGAGGCCAGGAGCCACCTTCTCCCCACCCCAGGTGCCCTCTCTGCCTGCGCAGGCAGCCCTGAGCATTTTTAGGCCACAAAGCTCCCGAAGCGTCACAGTGCAATTAAGCTCTGCGTTCTGATACTTCTTCTTTTTTAAAAGAACTTTATTAAAGATTAAAAAGAACACTATGTACAATACATAGAATACAACTTTATGTTGCAGACAAAATCTATATATACAAATATGTAATAAACATAAAAAACATATATGTTTTTAATCAACTAAGATGGTGTGATTTGTTTATTGGTAACAATTTTACTACTGTTCATTTCCTATTTTGGTAAATGTTCTTAGATTAACCACTCCATTCATCAAATCCTTATCTTTTAATTTCCTGGTTTTTTTCCTCTTTAATCCACTTATACCATTTATCCCATGCTGTAATATATCTTGAGTCTACCTTATCCCTAAGTTTTTGTGTGCGTAGGTCCATTTCAGGGCAGTCAAGTTTGATACCGATACTTCTTTCTGGGATGTTTACTAGCAATTAAGCTTTTGTTAAAAGAGTCCGGCACTTAGCTCACTTTTTCCCCTGGAGTTTCATTTTCACTTCCAGTTGGGTCTTCAGAATGCAATTGGGGTTTACCCCCCCCCCACACACACACACACACAAAATGAAACTCCACTGCAAAGGAAATAGAATAGAACAAACCTGTAGTATATTGATATCAGCCTTACCAACTTGGTGACTCCAGATCTCTTGGAGCGAGGCTTTGCCAATTTATCCAACATATCTCTACAGTCTCCATTTCAGGAAGGTCAGGCCAACTGCCCCCCCCCCCCCCCCCCCCCCCCCCCCCCGCCACTCCCAGGAAGCCGGCTTGTGTTCTGCAAGCCCAGGTTGAGTTGTTCAAACACCAGGAAGCCAGGAGTCATTTGCTGTCCTGTAGTTCAAAGAGAGCTGAACCCCGCTCTGGGTTTGGGGCAAAGGGAGCCTGGATGGCCGCAGAAGGAGAGAATTTATGGGATGCTGCCGCCCTGTCTTGCTGAAGCTGCAGGGTTTTTTAGCCTTGCCATTTTTCCAATCTGTGGACTAACACTGTACAGTCTGTAGTGTGTTTTGGATGTGATGCATACAAGATAAAAAGAGATAAAAAGAGACAGAAGATTACAGAGTTGCCAAACTCTCTTCTTCATAGACCGAGATCTACGAGAAGCTCCAAATGCAAGAAGACACCTATTCAATGAGAATAGAGAAGCTGAAGAAAGCCTGAAGCTGTCAGAGCAGTGGAGCAAAGGTAGGATCTTGCACAGAGCAATTCACTGAGTTTTGTTGGTAAGGGAAGCATAATTTAGGCAGGACCCACCGACCGGGAAGCGATGTATTTCTCCTTCTAGAGCTGGACTGGATAGCAAAACCTTGAAGGCTAGAGACCAGTGAGCCCTCCTTTAACACAATTCCTAATGCCCACACGTCTTTTCTAAGCTGAGATCTGACATCAGCTCTGCGAAACTTCTCCTGTGTAGGTTGCTGGAAGATATTTGGAGGACTCAAGTATGTACTTCTATTTTGCAGCCACAATAAGCGGACTTGTCTTTGGTTGCTAAAGGTTTGTCTCCTTTCTATGAATTCTTCTGCTCTTCTCAAACTGCCCAAACCTGAGGTGGCTCCCCTGCATGGAGAAAGGAGCAGAAGACAGGAGACGTTCCCTAGAGATGGGGTCATAAGTGCCTCTACTGGTTCCCTGTCCCAAATGGAAAGAGTAGATGCAAGGAGAGACCAGCTCTGGAGATGGGGTTGAAAAGAGAGACTGAGTTTCCGTGAGATGAAGTAGCCTGAGATGGGTTCAACTTCACAAAGAGGAGGAAAATGAGTTTGGCAAAGCACGGCCTTCGACCAAATTCTTTCAGGGTGGAGGGGTGACTTATAGAAGGAAGTACAGTGGGAGCCCTATTAAACCAGTCAGTGAAAAATCTAATGAAAGTACGTTGGCTCATAAATTTCATCGTCTTCCCTGTTTGGGATTGTAATCCAAGTGGAGGAGGAGGAACAACCGTTGTATTCTTTTAAAGTGTCCATTCTTGCTCAGAATTAATTTGACAGTGCTCTGGAGAGCATCCAGATTAAAGTAGACCTGGCAATGAATAAAAGCAATTCTGTGGCTGATGGCTGCTGTTACTCATCAAACCAAGCAGAAGACACGCAACATTCTTTATTTACAAAACGGAAATAAAGTGTAGGGCCATGGTATGGAAAAATCTGTTTTGGTACAGTATTTATAAAATAAGTCTTCAGAAAGAAATTCCATGATATCCAAACCATTTGGATATTTCTTTTCCTCATCCTCCAAGCGCATCCACACTTCCCATGACAATGTTCTTCCTAAACTCCTGGGGGAGTTTAGATTGTTCCATGTAGGGTTTGAGTGTCCGTATTTGAGCCTCGAAAAGAATTGCTGGTATGAGAATAATTGTTTGAATAAATTGGATCACAAAGAGGAAAGGGGCACACAGAGCAAAAGCTAATTTTCAAAACATCTAGAATAATTAAAAAATAATATGCACCACATTTTGTTAACTCGGGAAAATAAAATGGTCACATAAAGTACAATGTGAAGAGGCAACCGACCATCAGGGCCTGTCAGTCTATTTTACATTAGCATGCCTAATCAATAACCCTTTCATTTAAATGTTCCTTGATTTCGCTGATTGTCTCACCGCAAAGCCTCATAATCTCAGATGCTGAGAAAACGCCTCTCTGGATGATGTAAACAGGGTTGACCTGGAGCTTGACTGGGGCAAAGCTTCTTCTGATGTCTGCGTTGCAGAAGGTCTCTAGGCCTTGCCTAGCCTGCCGAGATTGACCAATTATCAGCATGTCCAACTTGATTCCAGAGCCCCTCCAACCTGGGAAGGAGCTTAGAGGGATGACATTCTGCGTTGGCAGCCTTCTGGAGGTTTTCCTCACCGTTTTTTTTACAGTTCTTTCGTAGGAAAAGCATCTGCGGTTAAGGGAAGTTTTGCAAGGCCTTTTGAAGCCCATCGGCTCATCGTCCTGCAAGTCAACAGAGGAGAAGAAACTTTTCAAATCAAGTAGCAGACCTGCTTCCCCCCCCCCCGCCTCATTTTGTCATTTGACCGAGTACAATAAAGAAGTGTTGTTCACTTGGGTCCTGAAATACCACAAAGTTGGAAGTCATGAATCTGGCCTCTTTCACTATGGCTCCCTTACTTCCTCCTCTCTTGCTTACCTCGGCTTCTTTTAGAGAAATTAAGAGATTATTGTGGGTTCGGGAAGAAAGAGATTGACAACATTGCAGAGTCGTTTATGTTTCTCTTGTAACGTAATCAAGCTTCGTGGGGGTGATAGAAGTTGGGCCAGATAGCTCAAAGGACCGGGGGGCCCAAGTTCTACTCCCAGCCGGCCTTCAGCTCTCACTGAGTCCCATATGCTGGCCTTCCTCATTCTGAGGGTATCTGGCGAGACTTCCAGGGTGACTTCCCCATTCCATTTGGGGATTATTTCCCCAAGAATCTGATGCCCGGAAGGTTAGGTCCATCCCCCCCCGTGAAACTCTTGCAAACGTTTCAGTTGTGGGCACGTTTTTAAAAAGTCTGTGTCCATGCATATTTATTTCTTATGTATTTTAACTTTTTATGCTGCCTGAGTAATTTACAATGTTTGTGATGACCCAGGGCATGGCACAAAGGCAATAAGTAAGAAAAGTCCCTTTAATACCTCCAACTTTGCCCCCAATGTCCAGTTACCTTCGGCTGGAGAAAAAACTCTCCCAAGAATAGTCTTTAAGTGGAGGAAATTCATTCCAAAACAAAGTCCATATAAACCGTAAATAAAAATCCACACAAACCACGCTGCAGCAATTAACTGGACAGGGCAGGAGAAGGAATTGCAGACTTCACAGGCCAACAAAATACATAAAGTTGGGAAGACGCCAGGAACCCAGATAAGCCTCGATGATACCAGATAATTCACAATTTGTTCCCAACAACTTTGCTGTGTGCAGCTTCCCTTTTTAAACACTGTGTTCCCAGCTGTAGCTAATGAAGGGAATCAGGGCCCTTTCCTCCCCCGTAAGCAATGCAATCCACGTTGCTCCCTTCTCCGTTGCATGCCCTAGGATGAAGAGGGGTGGGCCTGGATCTTCCTCTGAATTCCCTCTGCCTTGCTCTACCTCTCCCCTGCTGTGCCCAGCCGGCCTTTGCCCTTCCCCAGTTTCTTCCACAGCCAATGGAGCCACACTCCCACTCCCTGTCAGCTGCTCAGCCTCCCCCCTCGGAATCAGATTCCGACAGGGGCATGACACTGTTTCTCTTCATGTTGCAACCCTGGGAACATAATAATTGATTGGCTGGGGCAGACCAAAGGACATCCTGGCCAACTGTCTCCACTAGCAAGTGATAGGCTGAGTTCTCACACAGAGATTATTGAGAGGTGTGTTGAATTTATAGGCGGAGGCTCTGTTTAGCAATTATGATCCTCACTGATTGAGATCTTTACCTGGGTTAGTAAGGCAAATAACACTTGACGTTGGGCGATATACAGTAACTACAAGACAAGCATCTTTTATACTTCTAAAAGCTTATCTGTTTTTGTAGTTCTATCCAAATGTTTCAGTCCTGCCTTATAATCCTCTCTTTTGTTCTGCTTATTGGATATCAGCTCCAAATGTTCCACTCTGTGTTATGGTTAGATTCGTGATCTTCCCTGGAGCATAATATTTAAGTCAAGCTTTATCAGGCTACTTAAGAGAGAAGAATTTGGTTCCTTGATTGTGTTCCAGGGAAATGTTTTCAATCCCTTCTGCTGCCAGACACATGATGCGGATCATATTAACCATTTTTCCCAAGCCTCCTTGACCCTCCACCCCCCCACCATAATAAACTAATTTGCACAAGGGTGGTGGGGAATTTGGCAGTTGTCTGCAGAGGGAGGGTCTCTCACAAATTTGGAACAAATACCAGGCAGAACATTTCTTCATGTCAGGGCTCTCCAACCTTAGCAACTTTAAGACTTGTGGACTTCAACTTCCAGAATTCCGGGAGTTGAAGTCCACAAGTCTTAAAGTTGCCAAGGTTGGAAAGCCCTGCTGCGTGTAATCCAGTCCAAGCAGGGCTGTTTGCAATACCTCCTTGCACTGCTGCAATTTTGACAATTCAACTGAACATTTTAAAAAAGAAACCCAGGGGAGAGCCAGAAAATGGTGAGCTGGTTAGCTGAAGGCCTGTTCCAGGCAGATTGATAGAAATGATGATCAAGGGAGCCAGAAAATTAGCATGGCTTCCTCAAAAGAGAATCCTGCCTGTCTGGAGGGTTTGGGGTTGTGTGTTTGTTTGTCTGTTTGTCTGTGAGTACCAAATGGACGCATGTTGGGGGTGCCCACCTGACTCTTGAATATCGAATTTTCCTTTTAAACAATCTTTGCTTAAAGTTTTCCTCACCAAAACTTACAGTTGTGAGGGAAGGGGTCTGTCATTTTAATGGTTGCTAATTGGTTAAAAAAAAGAGAAAAAGAGAAATCAGTGGGAATAAATGTGCAATTTTCTGCTTGGAGGGATTACTGCCTTTAAACTTGTTCATGGTGATCTCAACTTGGGGTAAGAAATGAACTGACCAAATTTGGAGATGACACAAACTATATTCAGTGACCAGCCCTGAAGAAGCATCTCTTAAGATGAGCAAATGCTCAGACAAACGGCAAATGTGCTTCAAATAGATGTAAAATGATGGGCTTTTGGGGACAGAAAAGCCTGTCTTCACATAGAGCCTGGTGGGAGCCGGGTAGTCCGTAATTAGCCAAATATTGTTGGGTCCTGCTAGGAAGCCAATAGTGGTGCTTTCAGGTTGTTTCCTTTCCCAGCTGTGACAAATTCTAGAGAAGATTTGGAAAGATATTGAAAATAAAGCTTCCAGTTCTGTAATGCCCCACATCCTTCCGTGACATATTGTGTACAGTTCTGGTCATCACGCATGAAAAGGGAACATAATAGCAATTTAGGGGGAAATGTGGAAAAAGACTATCAAAAGACTATCATCACTTCTTTCATACCAGAAACATTGACAATGCGGGGAATCTGTACCTTGGATGAAGGGAGACCAGGCAAGGGGTGTGGTCAAGCTCTGTAGAATCATGGAGACATTTTTTCTCCCCTACTCCACTGAGGATCAGGGTTCATTTGTTTGGCCAATCCTGGTCTCTGTCAAGAGAGAGGGAGTCCTTTGCCTCTTATCTCAATCTGGGATCCTTTGCCTCTTATCTCAGCCTTTGAAAGTCGGTTTTGATATTGGATAGCCAAGGTGAGTCAGCCCAGATGTTAATTGGCTCTTCCTGGTTTTCAGTTTGTGCTGAATAGATTAAACCTGCATCATATCTACATCAGGTACAGATATTTTGGATAAGTTCGTAGCCTGTTTAGAGCCAGGAGGTTCCTCCCATATGCCAACGGTGGGAAGAGGGACAGCTCATCCCCTGGCGTGAACTTCTGGACCCGCCGTTTCTAAGAGAAGGCGCTTGTTTTTCCTTGCCAGAAGCTCCAAGAGCCTCTGGCTTTGGCAGATCCAGGGGCAGGTGGAGAGGATGACTTCATGAAGTGGCCTGAAACTGGAAGGAGGGACTAAAGAAGGCCAAGGATATCTCCTCCCCCCCTGCCCCCCCCCCCAACCTACCACTCTCCTCCTCCTTGTGTATGTCTGCTGCAGTGGTGATCAGGGTGTCACTCCGGGCCTGTCCGCTGAACCAAAACAGGTTTTGGAGCCCAACGGCTTCTTGAGTGCCGATGAAGTGTAGACAACTGAGTTTGATTGCTCAGTGCTTTTGAAGAATCCAGAAAAGGTTTCCATTTGGTGTAAATATCTCCTGGATTACTCCATTGATATCTTCCCCCTTGGGGATCCAACTGGAAACTGTGTCACTCTACCACTTAATTACCAGCATCCGGCTTCTTGGAACACATTCAGTCAGGGTTTGTTTTTCCCCCTGAATATGAGACGGGTTATTCGAAATACTGTATTCATAATTGGCCTTTGAGCCTGGATTGATTTATTTGGGAGTGTAATCAATTTACGAAAGCTTTAAACTGATGCTTAAGAGAGAGAGAAAGAGAGAGATTGTCTGTGCGTGCTTCCGTTCAACTTGTTCTTTTAAGAAGGCATTTGGAACAGTGTCTTTCAATGCCGGGCAGGACGGTTACTTTTGTTTTAGCCAAAAGTTTTCTCACCAGGACAAAACGCAAGAGAACTCCCCCAGTAGCTGAAGCCCCCGCCATTAAAGAGTGAAAGGCGGCGGGGAAGCTAAATACATCTATCAATAGGATCCCAGTGTTTCTGCAATACTGTCAAGATTGTCATGGAGGATCTCTCATACAGAGAGTGTAGATCAGGGGTCTCCAACCTTGGCCACGTTAAGCCTGGAGGACTTCAACTCCCAGAATTCCCCAGCCAGCTGGCTGGGGAATT